TTACGAGAAAAGAGTCGCAGCATTACGAGAAAAGAGTCGCAGCATTACGAGAAAAGAGTCGCAGCATTACGAGAAAAGAGTCGCAGCATTACGAGGAAAAGAGTTGCAACGTTACGAGAAACAAGTTGCATTTTATGACAACTATAAGAAGCACTTTCTTCCTTAAAGTGAGGAATGTCGAGCATTATGTAAAGTTATGCTTTGGCTCTGGTTTGACAAATAAGGAAATCTTTTAGCATCAGCATCAAATTGGGCAGCATGTCAAAGTGGACTCAGGCTGCTATTGGTGGCGTTGGTCAGCCATCATATGGTCGTTGGAGCTCAAAGCTTTCTTTCTGAAAAGGGTTGTTGTATGATGACTTCATTCTCGTAATGTTACAACTTTTTTATTGCCAGGCTTTTTTATCTTTATTCTCAAAATAGAAAATAAATTAAAAAAAATCTCTAACCTGGCCCTAATACTCCGCCGTATAATATATTTTTAATGTTTTCAAGGATGAAATAAAACTTTCATTCAGCGAGGTAATTCCCATATTTATTGTGAATCAGAAGAGCGTGGTGCCCTATACTTTGGAAAGGATAGCATTGTATCGTTGACATTTTGGTGTTGACCTAATGATTAAAAACATGATTAATTTAGTGTGCTGGAACCATTAGTCCACATGTAACCCTGGTGCTGCAGGTAAAGATTAGTTTAGTGCAGAGAATGTCATTAAAATGCAATGATTAAACTGTGAAACATAAAAAGTGGATATATTACACAGGATTTATTGCTTCTAGGAGGAACTTTATGTCTAACTGTCTAATATCAAGTAATGATTAGAATCAAATAGTCCTGGTTATTGAGAGTCTTTGGTTAGTTTCAATTATCCATCATCTGGGATTTTAGTTTGCTGCCTTCAGTCTTATAACAGGCAGTTTATTTCCACAATGTGTCTTTATTGATATGATTGTGTGACAGGATAATGCACATTATGAATTCAAGTCTCTTTTAGTCATTACCCTGTCTACATCTGACCCTAATTTAATTTATTGATCTGAGTTATTGGGTTTACTGTACTACTCAACACTGGATTTATGTTTAACCAGGAATGATCACCTACTAAACTTTAAAATAACAAAAATATTTCTTGTCATCCGGCTTTTGAAATCTTTATTTAGAATTTGTTTTATTTTGTCTTTTCTTAATGAAATAACCTGAGGTTTTACTGATCTTTGGTTTCTGTTTGTTCTCAGTAACCATGTCTTGACAGAGGACATCATCTTCAGAGAGGTAACCCCGTCCAACTGCCTCATTTCCAGACGTCTGTTGACCAAAACTAGCCGTTCACCTCGCTGGATGGAGCGGTACCTCCCAAAGCACATGTCCAGCTCGGCCTACATCATTGAGGACTCCATTGTGGACCCTCAGAAACAGACCATGACCACTCTAACATGGAACATCACCCACGCCCGCCTCATGGTGCACTCATGTTTACATCCATCGATACTTGGCTTGTCTTGAAGTCAAAAATGGGCTCATGTGTTGTTTTTGTCCTTCTTCTGCATGCTTTTCCAGTCGGTGGAGGAGCGCTGTCACTACCAAATCAACCCAGAGAACGGCTCCTGGACGGAGATCAAAAGGGAAGCCTGGATCTCTTCCGGTGTCTATGGTCTTTCTAGAGCTATTCAGGTCAGTAAAGAGAAAACACACCGCAAACATCACACCGTAGGTGCTTTGCACATTTTACCGACTTATTTAGGTCTAGGTTCTTATTTCAGGTGTGAATATGCGCCTGTTAGGCAAGGAAGTAAACAAGGAAACATCCAAGGTCAGAGTTTTCTCTTGCAAATGCCCCATCGACCAGCAGAAGGAAAGCAATGGTGCTTCTTCTACTTGGTGCTCTTTCTACAGAGTAATATATTAAAAACCTTAATTTGTTCATTCTTGTACGCTCAATCTAAAGTACTTTATAGTTGTGTAGAATATGTGATTTCTTTAAACACTGACTTTTAGGTGATCAAAGCATCGGTATGTTATTGGTCATTTCATAACGTGCTGATGTATCACTGCAGGGTTACTCCGTATTAATACCCGGGAAAATTTTTGCTACTCTCTATCATAGGGAATAAAAGATGACAGTTTAAAGGCAGAAGAAATATATTTATTAACATGAAAAAACTTCCCTTTTTAAATCTCAAAATGATGCATGCTTTTTAACAGGATCACAGATTCTATTAAATTAGAGGGGAACACAGTTTTGTTTTTTACATTGGCCCCTTGATTTTACGTTATTACATCATGTTCTACTCACCCATATTAGTTTTGTGTCATTTGGAGCCGTTCTGAAGATATTCGGTTAGGTTATGTCCAGGTAACGTCTTCCTATGGGCAACGAGTTGAAGGCATGAACTAAGCATATTCAGTGTGCTGTATTGGGGTACCAGAATGTTAAGATGCAGCAGTAGTTCCTCATTTTTTCCAGGTTTAGAGAAATTTATTACGGTTTTAGTTTCAGTTCCTTCAGGTTGGCCTTTAACCTCTGATTTTGTTCACTTTACAGGAATTCGGTTTGGCAAGGTTCAAGAACAGCGTCACAAAGACCATGAAAGGCTTTGAGTATGTGCTCGCTAGAATGCAAGGTATGTTTTTTATTTAGTTATTTTTACAGATATCAGGAGTAAAGGTAAACGTCATGCCTTATGTAGGTCTTGCATGTTTGCATGTGTGGCTTGGTAGGTTTATTGCATTTAGTGTCTATAAATAGAAATCCTACAGATTTCGCTTATCGTTTTAAGCCAAAACTTTTAGTTCTTTTAAAAGAAATGCTGACAGATTCTGTTCTGCCAACCATGTTTAAATTTTATTAGTTTTAGTTTAGACGTCAGGGCTACGGTCGTTTGCGCTGTTGCTTCGAGATAAGAAGGTCCGAGGTACAAATCCACACGCAGAGTTTGCATTCTTTTCCTTCCGTGCATCGTGTCTCCGCCTCACCCCTAACGACTGCTGGAGGCACAGCCCTGCACGCACTAACCAAATAGAGACAACGGATGACTAGATAGAGTGGGAGAAGGTGACATCAGATCTCTTTCCTGCAGCTTTTGCATGGTTCCCTTCTTCAACACAGCTGAAACCAATGAATGATTACTGGTGCCAAGGAGGTAACTCAGCCTTTCAGGACGTACATCGACTAACCTAGGATGGAGCTTCTGTTAAACATCCTGTTTTCAGGTTTAAATATGAAAAGGGAAATGTTGTTTTCATACATTTGCAACAATAATGTAATAATTTGTTCAAAGCATGAAGTGAAATTAAAAAAATATACAAGAAACAAGGAAATTTTTTATCAAATGAATGTAATCAAACATGTAAATAAAATCTTTTCTGAAATTTGCAGAATTAAATTGGCTAAACTGAGGCTAAAACAGCTGTGATTATTAAGTAGTCATTTAGTCTGCTCTTTTTTAGCTGTAAGCCCCAGAAAATAAGACACAGCAAATAATCTGAGTCATAACAATAGAAAGGGAAGAAAGGTAATGCTAGTTTGCCTCCTCAGCAGCTCCTTTCTCTGCAGACATCGTCAGTAGAAGCAAATTGCTGACAGTCTCATTTAGAACTTAAAAAAACAAAAAAAGCATTTCTTTCTGATGACGGGGGAAAAATACCATTTGTTTGTACTGAAACATAATTATATGGCAAAAAGTGGGTTATTTTGATATTAAAATGTTAAATTAATATAACCTGCTGTCAATATTTAGTAATAAATAATTGTGATTTCAGTGCTGACCAAAACAATCACGATTATTAAACCTTAATGGTTAACATTGAGTCTAAATGTTTTCTTGCTACACCTGGCTAATAATCTGCATGTTTGGATCTTTTTTAAACCCTTGTCATTTTTTTCTGCAAACATGAGTTCAAGCTTTAACTCCAGTTTCATTTAAAGAGATCATTCTGTTTTTCTGCAGGTGAAACTCCATCTAGAACATTAGCAGAGACTGCAACGGAGCGAGCAAGGGAGACAGCGCTGGCAGCTAAAGAGAAAGCAAAGGACCTCGCTTCACATGCGCAGAAGAAACAATACGTGTGATGCAGCAGCTGCAGCCTCTTACCCTGGGACACATTTACATGTAGCCACTCTGATTGTTCACTCAGTTGTTGGGTGATTTGCAACAGATCCCAGTCTTGGTTTGAAAACGTCTCTGTGAGGACACAGCGGTGGGTGGACCATAATAAAAAAAAGGCCTGAGCTGGGTTCAAGAGCCTGTTCTGGCCTCCCTGATTGTGTTTATTGTACCTCTAACAGTCCATTTAGTATTTACCGCAGCAGAAATGTTTGGAATGGGTGGTTGATTATGGCCATGGCTGCCATAAAATTGATAATTTACAACTGGAAGTGTTCCTTAAGCCACTGCTCAACCTCTGTACCCAACAGGTTCTGCCTTTTTTTATACTCCAGTTCTCTGAACATCATGTTTCCTTTTATGACTTTAACCAGTCAGTTCTCTGTTATTCATTTCAGTGTTTTAATGCCAAATACAGTACAATCCTGTTGGTTCAGTTCAGCCAATCCTAAAAACCCTTATAATGCGTCTCTGCCGTCACGCAAAGATCTGTACCTAAGTTCCCTGATCCTTGTAATGCTGTTCTTGCTCAAACGATAAAAGTATCATTTGGTCAATAAACGGACATTTCCTTAACATGATTTGGTTTTCTGTGTCAAGCGTCATACAACCTGAGCTAAGGTGCTTTGCTAACTGTTCACACTTTGTGTTCTGTTGCAGACATGGGCAATGTGGAGTCAACAAGTCATCTCCATGTCATGTATTTAATCTACCCAGCCAATTGACCAGGTGAGTCCAATCTGCACAGGTTAATTCACGGTGAAGATTGGACTCACCTGCTTCAGTGGCTGGGTAGAACAAATACATGACATGGAGATGACTTGTTGACTCCACATTGCCCATGTCTGTTCTGATTTTGTGATAATCCAATTAAACAATGTAACTTTTTTTTTTGCAAAATCACAAAATGTTTGAGTGTAGATTTTAAGAATACTGCATTTCCTGGATAAGGTTAGGTGTAGACTTTGACTAGGCCGTTCTAACCTGCATTAACCTATTTGATTGCAGCTGTGGCTTAATGTAATACCGAAACACCTCAAAATAGAAAACTGGAGGAAAAAGTGGGTAAGAAAAGTTAGACCTGGTTGAATTGCATAACTACAGTAATCAAAAACAAAAGAAATAGTTTATAGACCACCTTCCTGTAGGAGACTTCCACAAGGGATGTCATTGTGGCCATGACTTTTCCTTTTCTTTGGGGTAAGCAACCTGTTTGTTTGAATCCCTTGGCTGCTTCCTCCGAAGGGATTTGATAGCTGCTCCGTGCTCAGGGAAAATGGCAACGAACAGTGGTAAATATTGTAAGTGCAGTTTAATTCAAGTATAGGGATAGTTTCGTCTTAAAGAAATGTGATTTTAGATTGTGAGTCAGGTCAGATATGGCTGTTTGATTTATTGAAATGTTTTATCTGTCCCTGTGAGAATGAGTTTGGCTGACATTAAAGCTCAGATACCAACATATCTGCAACAACGGTACTGCTGTTGAGGCTCCTCAGAAATGAAATTAGCCCACAGAACAATGGTGAGAAGTTCACTATCAAATCTTTTGACAGGTTTGTAAGTCAACTTTCATGGTTGCTTGGTAACAGCTTACCTGAGTGTGGGGTGGTGAAAGACTAGACCTGCTCAAATCCAGCCTCTGGACCCGGTCGTTTTAGACCGCGTCCTTCCGAAGACACAGCCGCTGAAATCGAACGCAGCCTTTCTGTATTTTTTAAAAGATTGATCGGTTCTATGATGCTAACAGTTTTAGTAAAACTGGTTTTATAAACACTTCTGCTTCAAACATAGCATGTTTGTTTTCTTCAGACTTTGTGCTTTTTGTTCACCAATTCATTTAAATAATGACAATACAATGAATAAATATAGAAAATATTTATTTGTTTAAAAAATAAAAAAGAAGCTTACACCAGTACAAAAATGCTACATGACAATACTGGGTGGAGAGAAACTAAAAGTAATAAGGCCTCTTGCATATACAAAAAGTGAAGAAGAAAGCACCTTCAGTTATCAAATCCTTGTTACATGCTTGTAATCAGCATTAATTGCATAATCGTTACAAGTCAATGTTTCCTGCTGTGAGTTAGTTGTAAAGTGAACACTTTCAATGGCCAACACTCTTCAGTAACTCAAACGCTCAATCACACAACGCGTTAAAAAGCTCCTATGTTTTAAATAGAGATGGGAACGTGCGCCGATACGAAAACCTCAACGTGCAAATGTGACTGAGGTTTTTTTCCCCCTCATTTCCTGGTTGCCTTTTTTTTCCTCCGCTTCTTTGGCCGTACCCTGAATCTTTCTGACAAAACAAGTGCAACGGCTGGACGTTATGTGCAACAGAAGAAAAAGAGCTATAAATACATGAAGTGAACTTTCATAGGACAAAACAAAAACAGAAGTGCTCGCTAAATGAAACATTGCTGCAATATAAACTTAGTGCTAAGGAGAAGCCGAGTAGTACGTTAGTCTAAATCTGAATTTAAGGCAGAATTCAACACACACCAAGGAGATTTGTATTAAAGCCCTTATTTTTGATTAAACCTGAACGTTTGAATCACAGGAGGGTTAACGCCTCATGGCTTTGGGGATAAAACATCATTGCTTGATCGGAGGAATGCTAATGCATGCTGTAACATCCATCTCAGTTTAGTGCAATTGGAAACATTAGCCTGTTCTTTTTTTAAAACGTGAGACACGATGAGCTGTACTGTTAAAAAACAAACAAACAAAAAATGCTTCGGTTGCGTACAGGGACCTCTTCTTTTCTTTCTATAACTGTCTTGTTTTTGGAATGTTTTCTTCCAGCTCTCCTCCATATGTATGGAGTCACATTTGTTCCATTATTGTTGCAAGCAAAGATCACATTTTGTAAATGGAAATTTTGAGAACAAAACACATTTTTAAATTGAGATTTTAAAAACAAATTGCAAACCAGAATGAAACTTTGAAGATGTTTTAATGAAAAGAAAAAAAGATTTTTGAGCGGAACTGTTTTTTTTAGATTTAAGATTTTCAACTGCATCTTTCATGTGTATTTTTTTTTTTTTTGCTTCTTTTCTTTTTTCTTTTTTTTTTTTTAACTGTTTTTTTTTTGTGTGTGTTCATTTCTCTTTTCAGATTGAGTCTTAAGAATTCGATTCCTTTTAATTCGTTATTTCCGGATCACATTCTCGCCACTTCAAGCCAAATACAAACGCTCACACTTGAAGTTCGCCCATAAAATGTTGTTGCTATAGATTCCTTTTTTCTTTTGCACGCATATTAACTCTTGACTCAAGAGAAAACCCTGCTCTCATGAGGGAAGAGAATGTGATCTGTAAAATGCCATTTAAAAAGAATGCAAACTGTAAAACAATCAGAAAAACAGAAACTAAAACGGTGAAAATCTAAATCTAAAAAATAAAAATTTTAAATAAAATAAATTAATTTGAAAATATAAAATGTTAAAAATGAAACAGGAAATACATCTGAAAATATAAAATCTGTAAAAAGGAAAAAAATACAAAATTTAAAAATGAATTTGAAAACGCTTAGAAAAAAAAGAAGTTCAATTTTTTAATCTAAAAACCCTTTTTTTTTTCTTCAAAGTTTCATTTTTGGAATGCCTTCTTTTTAAGTTTCAGTTTAAAAAATGATGCCTTTGCTTGCATTAAAAAGGAAACCAAATTCCCTCCATACACCTGACAGACCTTAGGTCACGGCGGTCATAGCCAGGACCGGTCCAGGCTGGAGTAACTGTGGTCTGCATCCATGTGTGCTATACTGAGCCCGTCAGAATCCACGCAGTCAAACACGATGCTTTCCACATCCACCTCCACGTCTTCTGTAACGCAACAAAGATCAAACCCATTAATAGAGGACAGCTGATATCAGTACCAGGGTAAAAAATAAAAAAACAACAATAATTTGATCCTTCTTTTTACCTCTGTCCGAGTCCGACCTCTCCGAGGACATGGTGGACCCCTGGCTGTTGTTCCTCATCCTCTCTGTTCCCCGCTGCAGCTGCTCCAGCCGAACCCGAAGCTCCCTCTGCTCCCAGCGAAGGCGGTCCTTCAGCTGCTCCGCCCACTCGTCCTGCTCCTGCAGCTTCTAAAACAACACAGACATGGGAGCAAACACGTAAAAAACATAACTTCAGATACAAGGATGGAGAAAGATATTGGAAAAACAAATCACGAATGGGTTAGAGGTTTAAAGTGAGTCTGTGATGTACCTTTATGTGAAGCTGGGCTTGTCTCAGCAGGTTCAGGGTGGTGTTCCTCATGGAGTCTGAAGAGAGAGGGACCTGCTTTTTCAGCTGCTCCAAGCAGTGCCTCAGCTGAGCTCGCCTGTAGATTACAACCATGTTTACAGCCAAAGCTTTCAATAAAACATTTACTGATTTTAAGCCATAGATCAACAGGAAATCAAAGAAAGGTGAAATAGTAGTGGGGATTTTCCCTTTTTTCCACCAGCAGGAACAAGGATTAATCAGTTCATGTGAAGATTAATGGAGCTAAATAAGGGGGAATCTTAGAAGAAAATGCTTTCTGCAAATTTAGCTTCTAACAGGATTACAATCTTAAACATACATCCAGAGATAGATGGATGGGTTTAAACCAAAGCATTTTCATGTGTCAAAATGGTCCAGTCAAAGTCCAGGAAGTCAAAGCACAGCTGTAAATCTTTAAACATTGAAAATTGCCTTTCAGATAATCTACCCATGCTTAATCGTGGTGTATCACATGCAAACTTATGGATGCAATGTGAAGAAATTTTGGAATCGCTCATATGCCTTTTACAAGGAAGTTAAAAAAAAAAAAAAAAATGGGAAAAATTGTTGTGAAAAATATAAGTACCTGTTTTTCTCCAGCTCATTATGAACCGTCCTGTAATGAGAAACAGCTTTTAATGCCGTAAACAGGTTATAGATCATGAAGGTTTAAACAGGGCTCTTTATCAGGACTGAAGACACACCCTCCTGTCAGTAATCTGTTACATAATGTATTTACCTTTTACCACCAGCAGCAGAGTTCTTCTTGTTCTTCTGTTTGCTTATTTTATCGAAATTACCTTCGCCTACAGGCGGAGGGGAAGCATATCCATGTTCTGCCTCTGCAAAGGAAGAAAAAAATAATAATAAAATGTCAAATATCTGTCACTATAAAAAAAACAAAAACTTTTATAATGCTTTAAATGTTCATTGTAAAAATGTTAGAGGGATGGAATTAGGAATACATTTGTATTATAATCGGATTATTATTATAATCAAAGCTGAGTGGGAGGAGGGGGATGAGGAAAAGAGTGTGAGAAGTCACCAGCTGTACGTTTATTTTGTTTTTTGGCGCCATCCATTAACAATCCGTTACATTCAAAACCGAGATTTTAAGATTTAGAGCAGCCCAGCGTCCTATAAGCAGGAAAAGTCGCTCTGTTTATAGAATGAGCGATAAATATGGTCTTTCCTTGGCGGTTTCATTCACCGCCCTGGACTCCTTTTCAAACTCGCTAAGATTGGCGCCTTCCAATACAAAGATGAGAGCGATATGTAGGTCACTGAGTCAAATGGCACAGATCGGACACGCTCACGTCCCACTGGGAATCCCTGTCCTCGTGCAAAATCTCAGACCCGTGCAAAATGTTTCGCTCCTGTCTTATAAATCGCGTATATATTTGCAGCGGCTTCTAGTTTCCCCCTAATAACAATAACTCCTGCCCCCAGGCTGATTCTGCTGTCGTAAAATACCAACCTCGGCTTTTCCTCTCCACGAACTCGGCTGCCCAAAGCAGAACCTGGAGGCTGCAAACGTTTCCTTCCATTATTGGCTTTTTAACAAATACAACAAGCTGAGGTAAACAAACTACAGCAAGACAAGCATCTGCAGCTCACAGAGCGATGGAGTAATGGACTGTCTGTGCTGCTGGCGACGTCCACGGAGCAGGGAGAGCCAACAATAGTGCTGCATTCAGGTACAAATCGGAAATTTCGGGTTTAACGTTAATAAAACAATCTGTAATCCAATTATGATGCGTTACCGGATACAAAATAGTAAAATAGTTATCGTGAGCCACATTTTATTTTTTTGGGAACTGTAGACATAGTCCATAGTATTTTCTTTTTCAACTGTGTTTCAATTCAAGGATAAGAATTGTATGTCAACATTTTCGACAGCACGTAAAGGCATCTTCTGACGTTACTATTTTACACGATTTTGGACTATTTTACTTAAAGTATTTCACATATGTAGTACACTTTCAAAAATAATAAAAACAAAAAAGGCTACTTAAGCACAAAAAATAAAATAAATAAATAATTGATCTTTTAAAGAAAGAAAAAAAATTGTATTTCCAAACTATAGTACCATTAATAATAATACTACTACTAATAATAATAATAATAATAACGATAATAAATATAATAATAGTAATAATAATAATACAGTTGATTTCGGCCTTCATACGGAAAGGGCGACATACTTTTTCTGTGACAGTTGGCGAACATTTGGAATGAATAAAATAAAAATATGAAAATCAAAAGATAAAATTAAACCATATAAGCTGATAAATACATTATGGAAATATGAGTTTTACTTTCAAATACACGGGTGAATAAAAAAAGGGAAAAAAATAAAAATTTGCCCCAACTAAATATGGCGGATGGTTGACTTCATTGACTGAGCATCGCTGTAAGTGTGTTCGCTGTGTGGAAGTGAAGCCTCCTTGCCAGTAGTATCTTTAACCTCTGAACCCCCGAGTGTGCCAGTCCTCCGCCATATTGACTGTTGTCTTGACTGGAGGAGATAGAGAACATTTTGAGGTCCGAGAAGAAACGAAAGTGTGCTCTTAAAAGCCATTTAAACTGGTGCAAACTTGACCAAAGGGTTCCGTAAACACCACCGTAATGGCGAGAAAGAAAAGCAAGCAACAAGGGGTCGGCCAGAAGGAACTTGTGCCTGGACAGCAGACCGTACCGAAGAGCTCTGTCTCTCCCGGCGATGCAGCTGGTGGTGGCGGCGGAGGAGATGCTGGGCTGGAAAGGCTGGCCAACAGCAGGGCGAACCAGGTAGCTAAGAGCCAAACCCAACCGTTTACACAGACTAATCGGCTCCTATTTCCTTCTCGCCATGCTAACCCAAACATAACCGTTGTTTGTTTTATTTAACGTAATTACCAAAATACAATTTAGATAAATGAAATTCATTCGCTCAGACTTGATAGTTGTCGGGAGATGTGTAGCTTGATCTGGTTGGATGTGCAGCTCGATAAATAAGCTGGATTTAGGGAGGCGAATCTGTAGGCTTTGCAGCCCATCTCTTTTAGCCGGGACAGGTGACACCGTGCCCCCGGACAGGTCGTCCCATTTCCAGCCTTTACAACTCTTCATCCGCCCAGCTAGCGTTAGCCTCTAGGCTAGTCGGTGTGCTGCAAACGTGCTTCATCCCTGCGAACAGGAGCGCTCTGCAAGCACAGGCTAACAGCTTAGCAGCTACGGGAGACAACGGGTTAAAATTATTAGGATAAATCTCTTAGGTTTTGTCTTTTCCAGTCGTGCTTTTCTAATAATGATTTAATTAAACAATTTGTATTGTTTCTTGAAAGTAGTATTAACTAATATTAAAAGTTTTAATCCATAAATATCATTTTCATCATGAGAGGGGGCAATTTGCATCATGTATTTAAAACGATTTATAAACTATGATCTATTATAGTTTTTCTTTTTAATAACATAATGTAAATTATGTTTATTCTCTGGTTGTCAGCTGAGTGGGAGTCAGTTTCTTACATAATTTAATACAAGTTTAAAAACTAGAATATCTGATTAAATTACACCAATTTCCTTTTTTTTTTTTTTACACTGATTAGAAAATAAAAAATATACATCTTTATAGCATGAAGGTTTTTCTATATTTTCTTTTAAATAAACCTTAATTTAACACAACTTGAATTAAAGGATGTGCACAACAAAACAAATGTCTCTAAATTGAACTTAGAGCTATAGATGCTTCATATTGTTGTGACTCGGTGTTTAACACAGCTTTAACAAGTCGATCCTTGGGAATTGACTGTAGATGACAAACCTGTAATATTATTTAATATTTTATGGGATATTTTAACGTTTCAAGTGTAAATTTTTAATAAGCTTTTTGTTTCTCCAGCTGCTGAATTTCGTAGGCGGTTGAAAGACTATAGAGTTATTAGATCACTGCTCCTTATTTTATTATGATTATTATTCAGGCCATTAGAGCCAATAATTAGACATGAATTTTAAAAGCGTCTGATCAAGATGTTGAAAAACCTACCTTCTTGTTTTTCTTTTAGTGAATCAGTTAACGTAATGAGGGAGATACAATGCTCTGGATCCTAAGTGCCTGTTTTGCACCTAGAAGTTGGGGGTTATTGTATGTGAAATTATCTGTATCTATATCTGAAGAAGAACTGTCCTATAATTTACAGTAGGTGCTTCAGTTCAGATTATATTAGTGTAAAACGGGGATGCTAAAGTCCAGTCCTCAAGAGTTACCGTCCTGTAACTTTGAGGCTACCTTCACACTGCAGCCTGGGGTGACCAAAATCTGATTTTTTTTGGCCCATATGTGACCTGGATCCGTTTTTTTTCATGGCAGTCTGAACAACACAGATCCATTTTTTTCTAATGCGACCCAGGCAGCTTGGCTATGTGGTCCTGAATCCGGTACGAATCTGATCTTTTCAAATGCGACCTGTGTCTGAACGGCCAGGTCGCATTCATCCGACCTGAATGCCATTAATATCAGACAAAGATCACTATTCTGGGTCTTGTTATGAAGAAGCGGCAAAAAACAACAGCCACGGTGGACGATGATGCGGAGAGTAGTATTTATGTTTAACTGTCCTGAAAAGATTGTGTTTTTATGGTTGGGAAAGATCGCTAGATGCGTTCCAGCACTACCATCCATGTTTACTTCTGTAAACACGGAGCACACTGGCCTGTGATGTCATTGCGTCCTCTGTTGCACATGCGGGACGCTTGCGTTGTATAAAAGCAGTTCACACAGGAGATCACATACAAGTCACATATATTTGGAAATGTGAACGGCAACACAAAAAAATCGGATAAAAAACAAAACAAAACTGAGTTGAACATCAAGGCCTGCAGTGTGAACGTAGCCAAAGATGCATCTCTTCTCTAACACACCTGAATCGAAAGGCTCATTCCCCTCATTTAGCACAGCAGATGCATATGGTAATGAGCCACTCATTTGATGCAGGTGTGTTTAAAAATGGTGTGCATCAAAATGTTGCAGGATAGTAGCTCTTGAGGACTGGACTTGAGCATCCCCGGTGTAAAATAACTAATCTCATATACTAAGAAAGACAAAAATGCCCTCAAAAAATGTTTATTGACAAAGTTAAGCTAAACATCTGTTCCTATGTTACTGAGTGTTAAAGTAAAGACATCCTGAAAGCTCCCTGGAGTCAGAATTATGACCTCGGAAAGCTGTGTTTACTAGAGCAACTCCTAGCGTAATGTTTATTGTATCTGCACCTTTAAATGATAATATTAAATGTTTATCAGCAGGTCTGACTGTTTTTATTGTATTTACACAAAGAACCAGTAAGATATGTTTTAGTGAACATTTTCTTTTAGATTTTTTTTTAATGCAGAAGATGAAAAAGAAATGGACAGATATTCATAGTAGCAACAAAATCGGCTGCTATGAAACCCAGGTCTTCTGAAATGCTGGTTCAGCTTATTAAATAGGTAAAATGTGTATATATATTTTCATTAGAATTACCATTTTAATACTTCATAAAAGCGCTTTGTTTAATTTGTCAAAAAGTGCATAAAACACTCGTATCGTCATCATTAAGGTATTCATTTGCTGGCAAATATTCGTTCTACTGTTTGCACACACAAAAAGACAATGCTTCTTACAAGCAGCTCTCTCTGTTTATATAATGTAGTGTAGCTGCTGTCCAGTTGAGATGATAGAGGCCTACACACAGCAGAGCCCCTGAAGGTGAACTTGTGATATTAGGCAGTATGATTTCAAATAATATTTACCAGTGTGTAACTCTATAGGGTTAATGTTTAACAAATGAACCACGTTAAAGAATGTGCTCTATGGTGTGAGGAATTAAAAGGACGTTTTTTTGTTCCTTTAGTATTCCTTTTTATGTTTAATAGCTAAATTGGTTTTTCATACATTTAAGACATGTAATGATTGTTCAAATTAAAATTTGACATATTAAAGAATGGCAGGAAATGGAAAATAGTGGTATTATGGGCCTAAGGAGTAGAAATGTAGACCTAGGTTCCAAACTGGGATTTAGTTTGGGTTCAAGTTTATTATGGAGCCAAGTTTTAATTCCACGGTTCATTAAATCAGCTGTAATCACATTATTTCTCTGTGTCTTCACAGCCTATGCACACCTGCTGCCTGTTGTGCCATCGAGAATTCAAGGACTGGGGGGCGGGCTCTGTCAACGGACTTCCTGCTGGCCACGGGACGAAGTTGGCCGACGCCGTGCCTGCGCTCTCCCAGGCCTTACTGCGGGAGGCACCGGGGCGCAAGCTGGCCGACGCTGTTCCCTCGCTTTCCCAGTCGCTGCTCGGAGAGGTGCCTCTGTGGATCTGTCAGAGCTGCTGCAAGAGCGTGGAGGAGGAGGAGAGAAGGAGCACGCAGGAGCAGCCCTCATCGGTACATTTAAAACCCCCAGTTTGAGTCACAGGAGGTTTTACTCACCTCCTGTTCTTTAATATTTTGAAAAACAGATTTGGTTATTCATATTACAAAGTCACTCTTTTATGTTATTAGATGCAGGGTAAAATTTGTTTCTGTGGTATGGCAAAACCTTTTCCTATTTAGTCAACCTGCGGATGCACTACTTAATCAGTCACATTAATCATTAGCAGTTATTTTTTTCCCCTTATGTGCTCTGATTCTCGATCAATAGGTTAATAATTTCTCTACAGTCAGATTTTCTCTTGTTCTTTTTCTTTGAATTAAAACAAAAACTGACACTTTTTTGGTCCTCAAGTGTTTAAGCTGACAGTATATGATTTAAAATCTGTTTTTAATTAAAAATTAAAAGATCTCCATTATTTACTTTTATAAATGAATTAATATGGTCAGATACTTTCTTAGCTTTCTGCTGGATGCAAAACTCTCCCCTCTGTTGTTGAATCACTCTTTACTCTTTAGTTTGTGATGGTTTCAAAAATGTATCAAATTATATGTTCAGAACTCAACATGATCTGTGGCACCCAATTTAATTTCTAAAAGTGTAAACATTAGAAAAACAAGAAAGTATTTTGCTGTTTTGTTTAACCCATTAAACCGTTGACGGAATTCCTAAACAGTTTCATATTAACATCCTTCTCTCCTGTTTGGTTCTTATACTGCCACAATTCAGACCAGTGAATGGAGGAAAAAAAAAGGGCCAGATGTAGCTAATTAGGGTTTTGTCTTGTTTCTTTCTTTCAAACCAGGTACCATTGTCACACTCTTCCTCCTGTAAGTCCCAGAGCTGTGGGAACGGTTACCCGGAGCAAAGTACTGTAGACTGGGACCCGAGTTCCTTCCTGTCGGCCCATAAACTGTCAGGTCTCTGGAACTCGGCCCACTCCAACGGAGGCGAGCACTGCAACCACACCACTTCTTCGCACTCACAACAAGGTCTGTCATCGCAAGGTAAGGCCCAAAGCAGTCGACGAAAGCTGAAGCTTTCTCCAGGCTATAGCGTCGTATGAAAGACTTTTTCCTCTGTGATGTTGTTTGTGGGAAATTATGGAGTTAATGTTGGCTGGAAACTTCCGGTCTGCTGCCTCCTAGAGAAGGAAAATTAAGGTTTAGACCAAGAAGTTAAACCTAATGCCTAATTGCTACCCGCAGAGTGACTCTAAATTAGGCTGTTGTTTTTTGACTGATCATCTGATGAATGAAAAGAGGCCAACTTATTGAACAGCAGATTAAATACAGAAAAATATCTTTGTTTTTTCATTGTTTACTGAATGCAACAGTTCTTAGTCCCTCCCAAGCCCATTAAGGCAACAAAATGGAGTATTCTTGGAAGAAAAATCCACAGTGTTTATATGATTTCACTTAAATATCAAAACATTCTCGTAATTCGCCCTTTTTGTGTTGAATATAAATCAACTAACTATACCAGGGAGAGAGGAACACCCTTTTTCTGTCATTCTCTCTATTATAATACGTTTTCAACCTTTATTTAAAGCAACTTTCTTCCAGATCATTGTAGCGTGAGAACTAAAAGCTTCTTCTTCATGTTCGTTTCTGGGTTTGCAGAGTAGATTTGATCCAGCAGACCTGAGATGTCTGGCAGGTTGATCCTCTGACAGCAAATCTGTGATGCATTTTGAAGCTAAGCCATTCAGTAATTTATAGACTAGACAAAGTATTTTAAAGTTCATTCCCTAAGATAAGGGGAGTCAGAGTAAATATTTTAATATGTAGGGATGTGCTTCACTTTTCTTACTTTTGGTGAGGACGTAGGCAGCAGCATGCTGGATCAGCTGTGGCTAAGCACCTTTTTTAGGAAAACATCTGAATTAGTTTTCAAGGGCCTGATGATACATTAGACCTGGATGATGTGCGTACGATATCCAATCTCTTTTTTTTCTGTTTTTAATCACTGATTCTGTTTTTAATTACAATTTTTTTTTTTTTGTCATTTAAAGTTTCTTTAAAAAAGATGCTTTTAAAAACAACAAAATCCCCTTTTATTTTAGCCATCCCCTTTGAAAGGTGACCTTAATTTAAAAGGCAATGAAATTCAAGCTGAAAAAAATTATGTAAAAAAAAAAAAAAAAATCAACAATGAAAATATAACATTTAACGCACAGAGAGCTAGGAGACATCTAAGAACATCAAGTGATGAAATGATGTCCCTTTGAGTTGTTGAACCCAATGGAGTTGATTCTCCAAAATTATTTTCATTAACAGTCAATTGATGAATGGCGTATGGGGTGAGATTACTGTCAAAAAACATATGCGTAGATGTCTGCAAAAAAAAAGTTATTTATATTTAGGTTGTCAATCCATACACATGTTTGACATCAGTTCTTTCTCATCTGAGAAAAATACAAGTTTAGTTTTTTTCATCTGCTGTGTTTAAATGGGAAGAGGAAGAAGACTAAAACGGAACCATCAGTCGAACGTTATATCTTTGCCTTAAAGGTATATTGGAGGATGTTTTTTTTTCCTTTTTTCGGTTGGATCATCCATATAACTGGTCCTCCTAATTGTCAATCATTCTGGTGATATGTCTACGTAAGGCCGTCCTACGTGCTCGTCCCCATTTTCACTTAGCGGTGGTGAGTCTGACATGGTGGAAAACTTTCAAATCTTCTTTTGGAAAGTAAGCTTGTATCAGCGACGCAATTAGCAATTTTTAAACAGAGTGTTCACGAGGAGAAATAGGCTTGTGCACGCTCTCGCACATGTTCAATAGGCGTTCCCTCTCAGTAGAGGGTACAGGGTTGGGCATTTGCATTTTTTGTTAAAAAGTGGAGAGGGTGGGTTTTTCAAAAATTTGGGAAAATCCTCCATTTTACTTTTATTGTTGTGTTGAACGCGTGCAAAGTGTGACACGTTTTTGTCTTCTTCCTCTCATTTAATGCCAGTTTGCAAAGAACTTTCAGGTGCATCTCCACCAACAGCCGGCAAGGAATACACCAGCTTAACCAGAGGTTTTAGATACGTACTTATACATTTGTGATTTCTGCTTGTAGTTCTGCAAAGTTGTAACTTTATACCTAAACTTTTTGTCCCAGATGAAACATCAGCTCGTAAACTTTGTTTTGGATGATTAATGTAGACTTGAGAAATTGAAGCATCAGGTTTGTGGGTATTGATTAATGATTCATCAGAGTAAAACCTATAGGTGGTTTCATAGTGAATGGTAAATATCCTTAAAGCTTTTAGAAACATCAGACAGGTTGTACTCCAAAAAGCTCTGAGAATCCTCCACCTCAGTGCTTTAAACTTTAAACCTGCATTGGAACACACAAGCTCATGTGCATTAAAAACACGTTTATATAGTTTCAAAATTTGTGAACGCTTATTTATTGTGAAAAAATATTGGAACATTGAAGGTGAATGGTGCCGTTTCATCACCTGTCAGCTTTGGTTACAGAAAGAAAATCCCAAATTGGATCAGTGGCCAAAACACTGCGACAGTGGCTCTACTAAAAGTATGACATTTTATAATGGAATAAATATACATTTCTTATAACCTACCAAATGATTTTATAGTCTGTTTCTAATCAGACTGAAATCATTCAGGTGTACCATGAGTTTTCTTATCTATTTGAAAACATGACAACCTGGAGAAGTGAAAGTAAAACGTGTTTCTTTGCATCAGGCGTGTACATAGGGTGAAGCCTCACTTAAAGCAATTACAACTTTCTTTTTGTTTTGTTTCCAAGCTTTATTGCGAAACACCAGCCTACTTGTAGCTCTGCTCTGGAAATGATGATTCAGAATGAAAAGCCAATTAAAGGAAATGCATTGTTTTAAAAGGTGCAGAGCATTTATTACAGAAATACGAAGAACAAATCATGACGGCCTTTAAAGACATTGGTGTGGTCAGTGTGTTAAAAGTCTTACATTTTTATAACTCATTAGATTTGCTTGTATGGATTAAATTATAGATTCAAAAATAGTTCTAATAGCAGCAATAATAATTGTTTACTGTTGGGTAGTTTAACCTCCATCCTCTTTTTGATGCAGATTATTAGATGACAGCGATGGCTCAGAAGCTTATTCCTGCGTTTGCATCTATTAGTGTGAACTATGGCGAGCGCACGAGTGAAACGTGTTTCTCTCTGCAGGGCTAACTGCTTGTCACGAGAAACGGGGACTTCACGAAGCACCTGGAAAATCTGCAAAAGCATCAAGTCCCAAAGTGTGTCCATACAGTCACCCGTCATCCCAGAACTCCAGTGGGTCCTCTGCTGGGAACGCCCAGTCTACCTCAGCAGACCTCTGTAAGACCACTCCCAAGCACTTCAAGACCATGTGCCGTCGGCCAACGCCACCAGGTATTTGGTTAATTGTTCCATTAACTGTTTTAGGAAAAACATCACATTAAGCTCAGCCGATCCTTTTGTTTTACGCGATTCCAACTTCCTGATTAAAGTTTTATGTGTCTGGTTGTGACAGAGCAGTCATAGTTACACAGCACCGGATGCACTAAGATTTTAAAACAAAACTCCATCCATCCATTTTCTAACACGCTTATCCCAGAACCTTCTTGCTGCAAGAGGGCAGTGCCACCCACTGTACCACTGAGCAGACCTCACTATTATTTAATAAAACTATCAATAAAACAGAACTATTAACAATTATTGCTAAAAATATTTCCCTTAGAGTAGATTGATCCTTACCCAAGCTGGCATTTCCAAAATATTTTTTTAATGCAGCGTGTTCCATGATAGAGAAGGGAACTTACAAAAAGGATAAAAGTGACCAACATCGCAGTAAAGGCATTAAGATTGGCGCTGAAACAATAAATTGGAGGAATCAATTATTGAGATTGAGATCTTCAACTAATTTAGTAATCAACTTATTGCTAACTGGAATATAGGGACTCTAAAATATGCCATTAGCATAAAGAGCAAACAATTCAGAGAAATAGTTATACCAAAATTGTAAAAACAGCTCGGGTTTTAATGTCACCCGATTTAAATTCTCTATAAAATACTCTTTAAACCTTTTATTATCCGATTATCAATCAAAAAATAATCAACTAGTTAGCAAAATTGTTAGTTTTAGAGTATTTATAGACAGTGAAATATTGAGCTGTCTGATTCCTGGTTGTGACATCCTTAGGGGAAATTCACCATACTATAAATTTCAAGAGTTTTGGTATTAGCAGGACCTTGTTAGGGCCCTGTCACACCTTGCAGATTTAGCCAGCATATGCCAGACGTCCCAGAATCTTCTAAAACGCGGCATACGCTGAAAGTTCTGTGTACGTTTTTTCAATTTTGGGCGTATGCATAGAGTATTCAAAACAAGTCCAGAGCCTAGGTCCAACAATAACTTAACTTATGCATAACACACGGTAGAGTAACGCCCAGGAAATGACACCCAAGCAACATTTTGTGGGCATTATGAAGCATCAGATAAAGCTGCTGGGCAGCGATGCGCCCAGTTTGCATAAAAAGATTTCTTTGATTGCAGCATCAACCTAGCGTCTGTTTACCACCCGCCCCCAAAAAAGGAATATATAATAAGAAGAAGAAAGAAAGAGGGTTTGCAGTCACAGCAGATTGAGCGTCATGTCTGCTAGGAAGTTTGTTGGTCGTGGCCGTGAACACAGGGACAATCCATCACACTCACCTTCTCGCTCACTGGGGATGCAGTATAGAGGAGAACTGAAAGTTTCCTCCTGTGAACCCCTTTTATACCACAACACTGCCAATACGCCATTATACAGTAGCTGTAAGTTAGAAAAACACATTCAGCGCTCGTCTGGAACATGTCAGATATGTTCGAGATAAGTTCTTGATAAGTTACACATCAGTTGTGCACAAGTTACTCAAAGGTTTTGGATAAGCGAGACACCACAATTAACGTATGTCAACAATCAGAAAACTTAACTATAACTTATGCCACATGTATGCAATAGGCTGGCATAATGTACTCGCCGTGTTTCAATGTGTGTCAGCTTTCTTTAGCGTGCTCATAACTTACACAAAACGTACCCATAACTTATCCAATGTATGCCAGCATTTTTGCTTGATTTTCCGTACGTCAGGCATACACTGTATAAATCATCAAGGTGTGACAGGGGCTTTAGGTCTTATTACGGTGTGTTTATTGGTGGAAAAAGATCAGAAACTACAGATAAGAACTTGTTGTAGAAATTTAAAACTGGTCCAATGATTTCATCAGCTCCAATCTTGGTGGAAGATTCTTTCAAATTTTACAAAGAATCCTTTTAATTGGGTTCAAAATATCGTGTAATATTTGTTTAAACTTAGTAAAGCATCCATAACTATTTTATTATTCAAAAGAATTGAATTACTTCAGCTAACCCTTATTTTAAAAATTTTAAATTAACAGGAAATTATAGTCAGTTTGTGCCGGGTACTGATTCAAACTTCAATAATCAATTAGATTCTTAAGTTTCAGTTTCCTTTCTTTTCAAAATATCAGCTTTCATTTGAAACAAAAGCTGTGCTGCTGCCATCAACACCTTTGTTTATAGATGTTGGAGATCGGCCTGTTTTTCCAGTGTAGTCCTGTTTCTCTGACTGACTGGCTGGATGTGCTCTCTTCATCCTCTGACATGGGAGTTGGAGTTCTTCCTGTTAAAAGGGAGTTTTTCCTCTCCACTGTCGCTACAAGCATGCTTAGTGTGAGGGATTGCATTCCAGTCAATGAGCTGCTGCAATCAACTGGTTTTCCTTAGATAGAAAACTTCATCAGTTTGACTGTATGATCTGTAAAGTGCCTTGATATTACATGTGTTGTGAATTGGCAAAACATAAATAAACTGAACTAAAATTAGATTCAATCGATCTGATTCAGTCAAATTAGATTGCTGGTAAAAAAAAAAACATGTTTGCTGTTACCTGGATTACTGTGTAGGTTTGCAATATATTTATAAAAGTGTTATAGCAGCGTTCAACAAATTTATGTTAGCTAAAGCCAGAGGGCCCAGTGGCGCCTGTGTACAGCAGCCTTGCTTCTGTCAGTGAGCCCCAGGGCATCTGTGGCTACAATGTAGCGTGCCACCATGAGTGTGTGGATGAATAGGTGAATGTAGTGTAAATATATAAGTACAGGCAATTTACCATGGTGGGTTTCTGGTTAACTAGTAATAATGATTGTGATCCAATGTATAATCTAGACAAGGGGTGGGCGATATGATGATTTAAGACCGCGTTGCGATCTACACCTCTGACGATCTGTCATTATTAAGAGACCGTTTTATCAGGATCCACAGAACTGCAGTTCTGTGTATTTCTACCCAAAAAAAACCTTCACCGCAAGAATATAGTCCGAGGGTTTGACGTTCGTCCGTTAGTTTAAAATCTTAACTTATCTTAACTGATTTTTAAAGTAATAAAACTGAATAGAATTTTTATTTATTTTGACTGAAGTTACTTGAAAAATGTAACTAATTTGTGATTGTTTTACTCCGGAGTTATTGCATTTTGATACTCTTTGGTTTGTTTACAATATAGAAATAAAAAAAAAGGTTTGTTAGCACTGCTTTGATTCTCTAATTTTAATAAACTTGTTCATTTATTTAATTTTTCTCTTCTTTGCATGTAATTGAAGTTATGTTGGTCGTATCTAAAAAAATCGTGATAAAATCGGGATCACAATAAAATAATGAAAAAATCGTGATATTTTATTTTTGCCATATCGCCCGGCCCTAATCTAGACTTTTATGAGATCATATTGTAAGTATATGAAATCCAGGAAATATCCAGTACCACAGCGTTAAATAAAAATCTTTCCCAATAAGGTGAATGTTTTAAGAAGGCCGCTCTGAACGTCACTGTTTGTAACTGGAGCTCATTCCTCATCCTGTTTTTTTTGTCTTCCAGGGGAGGCCTTCCATCCCAATGACCACCATCAACATGCAGACTTGTCGGTACCGCCCAACAGTCCCACCGGTCTTTCCTCCCAGCATTCCTCCCTCCTGCCCCCAAAGCCAAGTTCCGGACAGCACGGCCACGTCACCTCGTCGTGCGGCTCTGGCGCTGCAGCCCACAGTTCTTTCACCCCGCTGGTACCAAACCTCCACAGCCCCACAGCCAAACTCAGCTCCCCGAGTCCAGACAGCCCAACGTCGGTTCATAAGCCCAGTTCATGCAAAAACTCCCACATTCCCGCAGTGAACACACAACACAGCAAACTGGGAACGTCTCTAATGGGCTGTAACCACTCTTGTAACGGACACAACCCAGGAACTGCGGCCCCTTCCAATGTGGGCCATCTACCCGGTGGAGCCTGCAGGTCAGAACCAGCCTTATTGGAAATGAGAACATTTCTGTTTTTTATTTAAAATGCATTTCTGATGGTTTGTCTTTTTTTTTTTTTTGCAGGGATCAGGCATGTAAGGGGCACAAAGTGACGAATGGGGTGCTGTGTCACCTTTCGTCTGAGCTGGAAGAAGGCGAGGATGAAGACAGCAGCTCTGAGAGGAGCTCCTGCGCCTCCTCATCAACCAATCAAAAGGACGGGAAGTACTGTGACTGCTGCTACTGCGAGTTCTTTGGACACAACGCGGTACTTCCTTCTTTACACATAGAAGCCCTCCACACTCAGCCAGAGTTATGCTGAATATTAACTCATCCTTTATCTTCTAGCCTCCAGCTGCACCAACCAGCCGAAACTACGCTGAGATCCGGGAGAAGCTTCGCTCACGTTTGACCAGGCGTAAAGAGGAGCTGCCTCAGCGTCAGGACGCAGAACTGACGGCAGTGGGCGCCATCGACAACAGGGACGTGGACGAGCTGCTGGACTTTATAAACAGTTCAGAGCCCAAACCTGTCAACAGTGCCAAGGCTGCTAAAAGGGCTCGACACAAACAAAAGAAGAAGGTATGCTGAGCTTTGTAAAAATGTTCTCCTGAAGCGATGGGTAGGGCTGCATCTAACAATTATTTTGCAAATCAATTAACCCCATAAGCCCTGAGGGTCTTAGGAGCAAATTCCGGCTGAAATTACATTTGTGAATTAAAGCAAGTACAGCTCCCAAACTATAAACTGGAAATACAATCGTTTGTATTTGTATGACAGAAACGCACTGATGAATATCTTTTATGTGGAACCACTATTTTAAATGCCACCATGTCTGATTTATAGGCGATTAAATAAAGAAAAAATGAAAAATTTAGCCTCGCCAACTCTGGATGAACCCCAGACATTATAGATTCACATGTTGACTATAACTCAAGCTAATTTGGACTAAATAAATAGAAGCATGTTTGTTCCACAAAGGTTTTAGTGGGCAGTGTGCTACGCAGAAATGTGATTTTCGCACAGTGCCAAAAATGGCCAAATTATGCAAAAAAAAATGCATTTTTTCCAATCAAAACGAAAACTGGCCCAACTAATATGCTGATTTATATTATTGGAGAACTTCTGCATATGGCAAAGCTTTTGCTCCTAAGATTTAGCCGTTGTTTCATTGAAATTTACCCTTGAACACACAATAATAACCAAACTGAGTAGAAAATTAGAATAACTGCAAGCTTATAAAATGCATGCCGGTTACATCACCTTAAATGGTCGCACAATTACCTCCGACTCCTCCTTGGAAAGGTCTGAGCCTCTAGTTTCTAATGATGCCTGCCATTAGGGGGTGGGGCTAAAAATGAAGAACTGATGTTGCATTACCCCTGCAGAGTCACACATTTCAGGTAGAATTTTTAATCTTATTTTATTTGTTTACACAGCTCTAAAACTTTACTTTCTGTAAATAGATAAACATCTGCTGGTGTCAGTAGATGTTTATCTAAGTCTAAGTCTTTTGATTTTTTTTTTAAATTGATTTATTGATATTTGGATATCCACAGGTTCCTAAAAAAAACAATTTTTTACAAAAATAAAACCAGGTGAAACTAAAACTTTTCCCCCCTGAGGAGTTCTGATAAAGCATATTGACAAACAAAAACTATGTATTTTTTTTTACAATTTTGTTATAATTATTCCTCTAAGGGGGTCGGTCTGACGGCTAAAAGCATATTTTAGAGTCTATCCTCCAGTTAATGATTATTCAATTACTAAATTAGTTGACTGTTATTTCAATAATCAATTAATCCAATCCCTATTGGTGTGGCTTTGCTCCTCTGCTCTGAATTGTTGACTTTGTACTGATTATTTTTTTCTCCTTGGTCTGTCACCTTTTTGCTGCAGGAAAAAGCTCAGCAGGTGAACCTGGGTGCTGCCGGCAGTGAACCCCAGTCCAGTCCGCCTGAGGAGCCCGCAGACGAGCCGATTCCTGATGAGCCTGAAGCCAGTCGGCTGCTCGACTGGCCTCAGCTGGAGCTGGAGCGAGTCAACAGCTTTCTCACAAGTCGTCTAGAAGAGATCAAGAACACCATCAAAGACTCAATCCGAGCCTCCTTCAGCATGTACGACCTCAACCTGGACGTCAACGACTTTCCTAAGAAGGCCGCCACATTGGAGGGAAACCACTTACTTTCCCATCTCAACGGCTCCTCCGACTTACAGCAGATAGATCTGGACCTTTCTCCTCTTTCGCTGGGAAGCTTTAAGAGCCACCTGGACCTCGTTAATGGATGGGATGACCCAAATAGCCCCTCGTCTGCCAACGCTGCCGCCAACGCTCCGGCTGGGGTCAGCGCTGCTACAAAGGACACTCAGAGGTTGAACACTACAAGCGGTCCATCAAAACTGGCGAGGAGCCGCTCCCCTGAAAAATGCACTTCCGCTGGGTGTGACAGTTTGCCGCAGGTGCCACCCCACGCAACGGCAAAATCAAAGGAGGACGCCACCGACACGAAGAACACGACTGCTGGGAACGGAGGCGCAAAGTCGAAGAAGAATAAAAAGCAGCTAAAACAGGAGCAGTCCATATTGGAGCAGAGTTCTAACAAACCGACCAAAGCTGCTGCTGGGAGTGAAGCACAGAAAACCAACGAGTCTAAAGAAACGGCGTCTCACAGCTCGAAATCTGGGAGCAAACAGCCTCAGCAGCCAGACAGCCAGCGGAACGGACCTAAGAAAGCCGAAGAAGGCAGATCGGCCAAACATGTATCAAATGGAGCAAACGGGCTCCTGGGTGCTCAAAAGGGGAAAACTGACACGGAGAGCCGAGCCGGTCGGTCTGAGCAGGAAGCGGAGAGCAAAGCTCACAGCACAGTTCCTCTGAATGGGCCTCAGCAGCAGCAATCCAAGGGGAAAAATAAGAAGAGCAAGAATAAGGGAGAAAAATCCAGCAGCACTATTGGTACGGGATCACAAAACTTTGCCTTTACTTCATTAGTTTGAGTTTCCATTCATCGCGTATAATTCTGCATCTTTGTCGATTCTTCAGATGATGTGTTTCTCCCTAAAGATGTGGATCCAACAGAGATGGATGAGATTGATCGGGAGGTGGAATACTTTAAAAGGTAAACACAGTGCTACCACTGACAATTAGCTCTACTGTAAAACGGTAGAGAAGAAATGACGAGAAGAAAATTCTGAATAATTTCACAGTTTACAAAGAAAATAACCTGAATATCCTCTTTTGTCAGTCTTTTGTCACATTGCAAAAATAATTGACTATTTTTGTAATGGAATGCATACATTTAGGTTATTGCAGCTAAGAAATTCAGACACTTGTAGGACAAAAACCTCGAAAATCAACAGAATAAATTGTCAGACATTATAAACTCAATTTAGAGATGTTTAGGCGATGCTAAAGGTCCAAATGCAGCATTGACTAATGGTGAGTCAGCACCTTTGAGATGTCCTGATACGGCGGTGAGCCCGGGTCTTTGGGCTTTCCTTTATAAAAAAATAAACATTCACCCATATCTGCTTCTCATCAATTTACCTCTTTAATCTAAGAGGTCTTTTGCTGTTTTTGTCACAAACGCCACAGATAACTCTGGTTTTATAAATACTACAAATATGTTCCTGTAAGTCTAACTAAAATGTTTTTTTGTTTGTTTTTGTTTTGTTTTTGTTTTTTTTCAATTTAATGACTTTATAGTTTGGGTTTTGTCCTGTAAAGATTCAACATTAAATTAGAAATTTAAGATTTTTTTCTTTGTTTTTTTTGTAACCACATTATTATTTTGATTTTTTTTTTCAATTTATCTATAATGACCATCATTTCATGTCCTACAATACAGCTGTATTTAAAAAAAGTTGAGGTTTAAACCAGAGCAGTAATCATTAGATCAACCTGCTGATACTGATTTTTTTTTTTCCTAGTTGTCATATTTGTAGCCTTTCTACTGATATTTTTACATGGAAGATATAAACAACTTCATCAGGGTTTCTCACCAATGTATTTCATTCTAACAGCCTGTCACACTAAAAAAGTGGTGGGATCCAATTAACATTTTTAATACAATTAAGTATAGGGTCTGTAATTAATTAATCACCTTTTGATGGAAAAGCATCTTAAGTTTTTCTATCTTATTATTTCATTTTAAGCATGTTTAAACATTTAATCCCCATGAAGGTCAAGTTGAGCCTCCTTTTTACCAAACCATTTATTATTCTTAACTGTTTTTGTGAATGACAAGTTTTACTTTACTTTAACTTGAGTAAAACTATCTTTAGAGCTAAGCTTAATAAGTGTTGGCTCCTGTACCTCTGGTCAACACATCAAGTCCAATAATGGCGTCCCCCACCCTATAGCTCTTCTTTTCCTACATAAAACATTTCTCTGTTATATTAGATTAGACCTAATGCTGACATATCATCTCTATTATGTCAGAATTAGTTCCTTCTCCTTACCGGTGCTGCTGTTGTGGTTATTTGCAAGACAAAAACAAATCTTATCACTTAATTAATTCTGCTAATTCTATCTTCTTCAGCTAGTTCTTAGCAGACTGTTAGGATTTATTCAGACATCCTTCTCCTCCTCAGCAGTTTGTCGCCTCATAGCCATCTCTGCCTCGGATCACTTTGCAGTTTTTGACTCAATTTTTACTCCATCCGCATTTTTTTTCAGATGTTTGCTGCATCTGCTTAGAGACACTCACCCTCGTCAATGATTTTTACAGCGGACATGATGTGACTCGGACTCCGGTTGGCTAGAGACAGTGAGAGGAGGGGTGGATACTGAGAGATGAGCAGAGAGAGATTATAGAAAAATAAACCAATGGGCTGTATATAGGACCTCAGCCTCCAGTTAACTTTCATAAAACACAAAGATCAATTATTTTATTTCTAATTTATTTATCCATTTTGATTTATTTCTAATAAACCAAAATTAATGCGATTAAATTTTCTTGCCAAAAAAAGCAGTTACTATTGCAAAGAAAAGAAGCCCAATTATTTAAGGAATGTAAACCCGGAATTCTGTGGTGATTAAAAGCTTCCTATTTTTCCTAATCCTTTGTGGTACGTAAAGGGCAATTGTTAAACGCAAAAAGGATAAAACACCTTTATTTTACTCTGTCAAGACCTCCTATTGTCTGTCTAAAGTATCGCTCTGCCTCTGGTGTATTCACACTAAAGGAAGTTTACGTGTCAGGGAGAAGCGATGTAGGAGCGTGGCACGATTAGAGCTGGAGGGGCAGCCAGTCTTGCAGTGTTTCTACCGTCGAAAGCGATGGATGTTTGAATCGTAACTTTCATCTGCTAGATGCGGAGAATCGACCAATCAGAAGCTGATCCAGGAGCTGTCAGACAGCCGGGATCCCTTTATATAAAAATATATAAAGGGATAAAACTCCAGTGGATTTAAAAAAGCAGGAGAAGATATTTTATTTAATTATCTACAAGATAGAGAAACATTCTCTACTGAACTGTAGCCAAACAGTTTATAAATACCTACATCAACTAATGCTGCCACCTGCTGGTGGTGAATGCTGCTTGGTTGTTGCTTTTTTTGCCGCCTGTTGTAAAAAAAAACCCACCTTTTATTAATTTTCTGTTGCTACTATCGGCAGTAGAAAAACCCAGACATCCTGGCCATTTTCAGATAGCTTTTAGTAGGATCATAATCCTGATAAACTAAGGATGTTTTGAGGTTTCTTGCTTAAAAATATGTTAAAATAATTTTTCCAGCTCATAACTTCAAATAAAGCTATGCCACTTTTTAGATTGCAAGATAAAGAACGTTGAATGTCGAGCCTCTGTGACCTGATGTCCAAGTTTAGGTGTTGGACGCCTTTTTAAACCTTGAAATACGTTTGTTGTGAACGCACCATCACACTGTTGCAGCATAAATGAACCTTAAATTTCTCAGCATGTTAAAAACATCATCTTACATCTCCCCTCTGGCTTAATTTTAAACATCTCACTGATTCTGCTAAAAGTTACACCTCAGTCCTCTTCCGTCAGAAGCAACTTTGGCACAGATGAGCGCTGGTCTTGGTGAGCTGAGAAAAAGATGATGTTTTGGAGTTCCTAGTTACCAATTGAGGCATATAATGCTGAACATCTGCTGACATCTCTATGCATATCTAATTGGTGGTGTTAAATTTGATGTGCTCTACTCATCCTGTTTTTTCCCCTTTGCTTCCCACAGGTTCTGTCTTGATTCTGCAAAGCAAACCCGTCAGAAAGTAGCAGTGAACTGGTCAAACTTCAGCCTCAAAAAAGTTCCTTCCAATGCAGCTCAATAACTCGGATGAGAGACGGAGGGGGAGGAAAAAAAAGGAAAATCCTCACATCAAACTCTTTCAGCAGAGCCCCGTTTGGCCTGAGGCCTTCTCTCATTCCCAGTTTTCTTCTTCTGACAAAGCCAAGGGACCCTGGTTTCTATATCTTCACTAAAAAGACTGAAACGTGAACCCAGTTAGCGTTCTCAAGGCCAACTCTACCCTTTTTTTATTAATATTGCGACATGAATTGAATGAGTCCTACAGAAATGGAGAAAAGTGTTGATTCAACTGCATCCATGTGCTTACGTATGTAGTATGTAAACAAATGAAATAAATGGTTTTTATCACAAATCTGAGAAATGTTAAAGTTGTTAAACTGAATCCCAATCAAGTCAAACTGAATCTTTCGTCCTCATTCATCACAACCTGCACTCCTACAGTTTAACCCAGTATGCTAGCAATTTACAGCTGTCATAATGGATCACCATATATTATGTATGAATATTTAAAGATAAGACATCACCAACTAGTGAGATAGCTACAACAGTTGCAACAATCTTCCTTCCAACTTGACCCTCTTGTTATGAAATTGAAAGAAAAAAAAACAACATAGCATGTTTGTTTTTAAACCAATAGATTTGAGAGAAACACTAATATCAATATTCATGTCTTCTGTTTTTTTTGTTTTGTTTGTTTTTTAGATTTGGTCTATGGGATTTATGGTAAATGTAATTTCTCTCACCTTAACCCCTGCAGATGCCATCCCTATGCATGGTGTGTTCTACACAAAAGAAACTGAATCCTTTGCTCCTGTCTTGTACTGGGAAAATGTGCTTTAGTGTCAGTCCCCCTTCTGTGCTCGTTATGAAGAATTACAGAGATGTCCAATGCATTCTGATGTTGAAGAAAACCCCCTTTGCCATGAAGTGCTTACTCTCTAAACTGCTATTTCAGCTCCTGCTTGGCAGCGCACTGTTCAGTTTTCACTCTGATCTTGTGTGTTGCGGTTAATTTAAATGCTTGTACATACAGTAATGAATTCATATTTTTTGCCCCTTTGCCTTTATTCTCACCTTCCTGAGGGTTTTTTTTGTGTATATGTGTGAGCTTCATTTTTCAACCATACTGCTCTGACCTGTACTGTTAACTTGAAACTCTCCTCCCAAGTGTTTTCTTGAAAACAATAATAGACGAGACCTTTAGGACACAGCCTTAGGTTTTTACACGGTGTCAATGTATTTGCCTGATGGCTTTGATGAAGATGATTTTTTTTTCTTTTTAAATCTGTCCTGAAATTATGTTTTAATGTAACATCTCTGACGCTTTCCAGGTTATACTCCAACTAGAAAATATTATCTTAATGTTTTGAATGTAGATTTATACTATACCAACAACAGCCAAGTGTATGTTGGCTTGTTTCTTTTTTTAATTCACTTTTGATACTGTGAAAAAAAAATCTTTCGTCCGGAAAGATTAAAACAATACAGTTTTGACAAACGCAGGTGTGTTGTTTTATCTTTTTTAAATTATTTTTGGCCCGTAGCGGTTTCCGTACAGCGGTCGTTTCGTCCATCGCTAGTTTCAGAAGATGCGACTCCGAGTGATTTGACCCTCCCGGCGTGCCGTACACGAGTAGCTTCCTGTGTTATGAAAACATGCTGGATTTCTACGATAATTGAATTTATTCCTTGACGTATGGTTTGTAGCCAAACCACAAAGCATACATAGTAACATTACGTAAAAATAAATAAAAATGGAGACCGAAAATCGGGTGCTAAAGGTAAGTAAAATCCCCGCTGCCGACCGTTTGAAGTTAGCCATTGGAAGCTAATATTAGCATGCTAACTAACTTCTTTTAAGTGTACTTTTTGTGCGCATTAAAATAAACACCTTAATGTAATGTAATTGTATTTTACATAAAAAATTACATGTTAAAGTGTGTTTTTTGGTTAAATGTATATATTTAAGCAAAATTAGCATGGGTCTTCGCGAATCGGTAACCCATGCTAACTACACAATGTTGACGTTTCAGAGGATTAAAAATAACCAGTATGCTTTTATATGAATGGTAATAATAAAACGGTTATGACTTCAGCTAAGTCTAAACAAATTACGCGACAACTTTTTAATAAATATAAGAATAAAGTGAACAGAAACTGCATTGCTTGTTGACGTTGTGAACATTGATTTTGGAGAAGCTAATAAAATGATTAACACTGTAGAAACTACCACCGTTTATAAGTCATGAAAACGATAAAGTGTCTCTTTAAAGTTTAAAGGGATGGGGGAAGCTTTGGGTTTAAACTAAACGTGCTTTAGGTGTGGATAAAGCATGCTAAAGGATAAAGTATTAAAGTAAATATTTTAAAATTCATTTTTTTTATTTGATTGTGGGCATAAAAATCATCCACCAAACAAACCATGTATTCAGCCGTGAAACTATCATGATAAATTTCACTCTTTAACTCAGTAATGTATTTATAATCCTCAAATTCCTCATGACAAGTTTCTAAAAATAATTGTTAAATCACAATGTGCTTTAGTGCTTTTTTGGGGGTTACCATTTAGCTCCTATCCATAAATTCTTTGTTACATGAAAGCAGATACACTTTAACAGGGTTTTGATGATTTTGATATTTGTTTTTCCACAGAGATCGTATGAAGATGAAGGAAAGTCAGGCTCAGAAGGATCAGAGGATGATGATTATGTCCCATATGTTCCAGTCAAAATACGGAAACAACAAATGGTGAGATATCTTACTCTAGTAATCCAAGGTAACAGAAATCCGGTTAAGGTTCCTCTCCAAAGTGACTCAATCACATTTTATAAGACTTTTTGGCTACGGTCACACCGCAGCCTGAAGTGACCCAAATCCGATTATTTAGCCCACATGCGACCTGGATCTTTTTTCATGACAGTCTGAACACCACAGATCCGATTAATTTTTTTCAAATGGAACCCAGGCCGCTTGGCTCTGTGGTCCTGAATCTGATGTGAATCTGATCTTTTCAAATGCGACCTGTGTCTGAACAGCCAGGTCGCATTCATCCGACCTAAATGTCATTAATACCTGACACTGGTCACTCTTCTGCTTCTTGCTACGCAGAATTGGCAAGAAAAAAAAAAAAAAACAACGATGGTGGACAATAATGTGGAGAGTAGTATTTTGTTTAACCATCTTGGAAAGATCGAGTTTTTAAGGTTGGGAAAGATCGCTAGATGTGCTCCTGTGCTACCATCTATGTTTACTTCCGTAAACACAGAGCACGCTGGCCTGTGACATCATTGCGTCCTCTACTGCACATGCAGGACACTTAGGTTGTATGAATGCAGTTCACACAGGAGATCACATGCAAGTCACATATATTTGGAAATGTTAACAGCAACGCAAAAAAATCTAATTTCACAAAAAAAGTCGGAATTGAGCATTAAGGCCTGCAGTGTGAACGTAGCCTTTGTCCCACTATTAAATCTAAATGTTCCTTTGTTTTTGTTTTCTTATACCAATTCACTTATGGAAAAACAAACTTGTAATTACCAGTATTTGTTTTTTGAATGTTTATAGCTCCAGAAGATGTTACGTCTGCGTGGGAAGGCTGTGGATGAGGAGCAGAAGGATAGCGGAGAGGAACAACGGGATGAGGAGGAAGGCCTTGGTCCACGCTCCAATATTAGTCTCCTCGACCAACATCAACATCTCAAAGAGAAAGCAGAAGGTGCAGAGTAGATCTTCACTTGTATCTTCGTTTCTACCTTGGCTGTACAGGATTGTAATTAGCTATTACTTGTTTGTGCGCACAGCTCGTAAGGAGTCTGCCAAAGAGAAACAGCTGAAAGAGGAAGAGAAGATCCTGGAAAGTGTGGCTGAGGGCAGAGGTACGAAAACATTTCCAAGATCCTTAGAATTCAAACTTTTTTGTTAAAACTAATCATGCAAAATTGAACTCCCTTCTGTTAGCCCTGATGTCTGTAAAGGAAATGGCCAAAGGTATCATATATGATGACCCAATTAAAACAAGGTGAGCCGCCTGTCTGTTTGGAAGCTTTTCCTCTTTATAAGTTTTCTTTAATTTGCTAGGTTTCGTTCAATCTGATGGATATTATTTTGTAGCTGGAAGGCACCGCGATACATCCTAAATATGCCAGAGACAAGACACGAACGCGCCAGAAAGAAATTCCACATCCTAGTGGATGGAGAAGGCATCCCTCCCCCGATCAAAAGCTTCAGGGAGATGAAGTTTCCTCCAGGTGACACCTCGCACATAAAAAAATCCCCTCAGTGGTTTTATATCTCTCCTATTTATTATTTCTGCTTTGTTTTTTTCTTCCATAAAAAGCAATTCTCAAAGGTTTAAAAAAGAAGGGGATTATCCATCCAACCCCAATTCAGATTCAAGGAATCCCCACAGTGTAAGTGCTCTGCATGGAGGTAGACTAAATGTGATCTCTGTTTGAATTTAATGCATTTGATGGACTGACCGTGTTTGTGTGCAGCC